GTATCGGGAAAGTCTTATGGGCACAAATGAAAATTATCCCACCATTGAAGATATTTCCTTAACAGGCGTTCCGGATTTGACAAATAGAGTCTCGAAAGACAAAAGGAGGGGGAATACGATTTGGGAGGACCTAGGTGATACGTGTTTAATACATATTGACGTTTGACGCTGCTTTTAGTACAAAGACAGCGGAGCCGGGGAACTGGAGGGCTTAAACTTTTGCTCCGAGATACCTTGCAGCACACGTCGAGTTTTGTAAAACGTTTCATGTACTTAGCCGGTATGTATTATATCACTATGTATGGATCTTCCAATTCAAGAGTAAATATAGTTGTTATGACTAAAAATACCTGTTATTTTAGCCTTGATTGAGTTTGAAATATTCACGCGGAGACTACTGAAAATAGCATTTCCAGGTTTCTAGATTTCAACATTTTCTCGGGGAGCAAGAAACCCCTGGAGGCTCGCAGTATTTCCCGCTGTGGGCCTTCCGCTGTTAAGAAATATTCGTATCAGTACCAACACCCCTTCTCAAACCCCAGCTAAGCGCCTGTTAAAGAAGAGCAACATTATCAAGAAGGCTTTTGGTAATTTGTTCAATTAACTGAACTAAACATTCAGGGGTGATTAAAAAAATAATTAAAAAATTGGATTGATTGAGCGCAAATACATCATGTAAAGAATATGAAACATCAATTCGACAAGTACATATTTTCCAAATATTTTACTCGATGCAGCGGGTACCGAGATTGGACGATAATTAGTGCAGAGCAAGTGAATTAATGATAGGTTTATGATATCCGTTATTTCTGTCAAGGTTTTCTGCTTAATAATAGAAACACCTGAACTTCACTAATTAATTGACTGAAACTAAACTCCTTCTTATACTCAGGGTCACTTTGAGAGTTGGGTCGTTTCTTGTTTATAGTGTAGTTATTGTTATCCCACATTTTTTTACAACATGTATAGATGAAGTTTGTTAAAACTGTATTAATAAAGTTCATGATAGTGCTTATTAATGGCAATATTTTGTTCCGATCTCCCAGTCTGTTTGTTGAACACTGATGTCATATATTGTTGTTACATGGCCATGATCCTCACCGAAAATTTTTTTCCTAATCTAAGGTGCTTTTTCGTAAACTTACTAGTATTTGGCTTGTGTATACTCCCCTTCTATCGTACACTGATGCCAAGGCGGTTATAACTTATTGCTACAGCGATATTATCTTCAACGAAAATCTTTTTGCACTGCTTACCAACCAGAATTAAGAATTCAGTTTAAAATTGTTTTGATTACTCATATCACATCTTCATGGTTCAGCTCCGTCTTATTTATCATCAATTATTTATCTTAGGTGTCCATGGAGATATAGTCTTAGGAATTCAAACGTTAATATAAGTCTTAGTTATCCCAGTTTCATATCCAAAGCAACACTCGGTGATAGGTCCTACACTTGCACCGCTCCAATGGTCTGGAATGCTTTGTTCAAAGTCAAATGCGCCAAGTCTGTTGATGTTTTTAAAGTAAAGCTTAAACACTCTTATTTAGTTCAGCATTTTTATTACCATAACTTAGTATCTACGGAAGCCGAGAAGGGACAATCCAAAAATATTTTGCAAATCCAAAAAAATATTTTAAATCGCAATATTTTTCTCAAATCACTGTCGAAAAGTTTGACAAATCTAAAAAACTATTGCAAATCCTAAGAAAGTTTGTGGATCCGCAAATAACGTTCTCAATAATCGGAAAATATTTTGTAAATCCATAAAATTATTTCAAATCGCGATTTTTGTACAAATCATTCTTGAAGAGTCTGGTAAATCTAAAAAAGTATCGCAAATCCAAAGAAACTTATTGGATCCGCAAATAACTTTTTAGAAAACTCTAACATAGTTTAAAGTCCAAGAATCGTCTTCAAATCCAAAAAAATATTTTGGAAATCGTAAAAAAAGTGTTGTCACATGCTTCTAAAATTTAAACTACAAAACTATCGATCCTACCGAGATTTTACTTTCACGATGTATTAGAGCAGCTGAAAACTAATTTTCATACAAATTTTCGCTTCAAAAGGGTTCTTGGTTTTGTGATAGAGTATGCTTGAATTTCTAAGGTTTTGCGTGACGCGGCATTTACATGACGGCCAAGAGAGTTGACATCTCGATTTAAAAAATACGTTATTTCAAGGAATTTTGCTATCCAAACAGTTCATGTTTTATAAAAAGTATTCCTTTAATTTTTATGAGTTCCTCGAAGAAGAAATTCACGCTTTTGTAGCAAAACTCAGTAACAGATGTTTCTGTTGGTTTCCGTCCGCAATGTTGGAGCCCATCCAGGTGGGCACCAGCATGGCGTCTCCATACAAATCTCTATAAATTTGGGTAAAACATTTCTTCGGATATCTCGTATACGAAATATTCCTCTGACCTGAATCTTGGCGAGGGTCTTTGCATATTTACCTCCTTTCATTTCCCAGATTCTGGACTTTATCTATTGATGGGTTTTGCTTTTTATTTTGATCTATTTTGAATGGCGTGACACTGAAAACCAACAATACTGGCTGTTTCACGCCATTTCCCCCATACAAAATGGCGAAGGAAGGAGGTTAGAACATCGAGAGCGATGTTCTGTCATAAATGTAGGGGAGAATTTGGGAGCAATGAAATATTCTGCCCTTGGTGTGGAACACTGAAAAGACGTAAACAGGGAAGTGTGTTGTCCAGCTCGGGTTAAAGGGGGATTTTGTTGTGAGACCATTGTTCACTTTCTGGCAGAATACCATGGGATTTCAATGAACGTGAGGACTTTGAAGAGAAGGCTACATCATTATGGGTTACGAAGAAGTAACCACCTTCATTCAGAACACCCGATTTCCGAAATATTTTTTTGGATTTGAATTGATTCTTGGACTGTAAACTATTTTGGAGTTTTCTGAAAAGTTATTTGCGGATCCAATAAGTTTCTTTGGATTTGCAATGTGTTTTTAGATTTACCCGACTCTTCAATAATGATTTGTACAAAAATTGCGATTTGAAATAATTTTATGGATTTGCAAAATATTTTCGGATTATTGAGAAAGTTATTTGCGGATCCACAAATTTTCTTAGGATTTGCAATAGTTTTTTAGATTTGTCAAACTTTTCGACAGTGATTTGAGAAAAACATTGCGATTTAAAATATTTTTTTGGAGTTGCAAAATATTTTTGGATTGTCTCTCCTCGGCTTCCGTAAGTATCTACCTTGTTTTGTATTTTAGTCTGTAACATTTTATCATTGTAACATTTTATCTACGCAAACCCTTTTAAATTTAAACTACTATTCAGTTTATCTATTTAAATTTTGCAAGAATTTCTTTCGCAGGATTCTATTCTCCCAGTCTGTAGCACACTGATGCCAAGTGTAAAACGATATTTTTGGGTATAAGTTAATACCAAAATGAAAATACCTTTATCGAATAATGAACGTTAATGAATCATCAACCATTGCTATTTTAATATATTTTAATTATTATTATCACTGAGTAGAGTGTTCTGAATTGTTATAGAAATACGCTCTACTAGAATGTACTGGGCTTACAAAAGCTATTTGTTTTTCGTTAACAAGGTTTGGCCTTCCTTTGTAAAGATGCTCTTTTGGACGTCGGCTTCTCTGTGCACGCGTGCCGCTATTCAATTAAGAAACGATGCTTTTTGTTTAAACTGAACCCATACAGAGATCTAATTAGTTCTGGTAAATTTAACGAAATTTGTTTGTTATCTTACATCAATTGGCTTAGTTGGTTTTTCCTAAAATCTTCAGAAGCTTGACCTTGCCAAGTTGTCTTTTCCTGGACATTCCTATTTTTACTATCTTTCGCGTTTTAAGTGGTTTATTCGAAACTTTTAGTGTGCTTCCAAAGAAACCTTGTCCAACAGACTATCTTATTTAACTCGTTGTGATAAACAAACTTTTGTTACTGACTGCCTAGTTAAAGTTACTAGTTAAAAGTTGTAATGAGTGATATCTTTGTTTAAATATCTTGCTAAATGATATTTGACTAGAGATTTGTAAACAATCTAAAAGGCGGGACTAACTACCATTGTACGATATTCCAACAAGAGGCTTTTAAACGACAATTTTAGCACTGTACGCGAATTGACAAGTTGTACATTTTAGAGTGACGATATTGTACATATGTGATTTTCATTCATGTAAATATTCCTTGTAATTTTTGTGTCTCTCTGCCTGTTTTCACTGATTTTCACGACACAACCTCGAAAGAAAATATGTTAATAATTCTTATAGCCAATCGAATTTTTACTGATGTAAGATTATTTTAAGTTTGAGTAAGACTGGCAGCCGGCTTCAGATTCAGTTAGGATAAAAGGAGCTGTAACTAGGTCTTGTCAGAGAGATACTGCTAGCTTTGATTGTGAAAAGATGAGCAACAAACGATCTACATTAAAAAGAAAAAGTTTGAGTTCATAGTAGAGGATTACTGTTCCCCCAAGTTACCTACTACACAAGTTGTTATAACCTGTTGCTACATAGGCATGATCTTCACCAAAAATCTTTTAATTTTGCCAATCATAAGTGTTTTTCCTGAAGTTTTTTGGCTTGATTGTATTCTCCCAGGCTGTTGTACACTGAGGCCAAGTTGTTATAACTTGTTGCTACATAGGCGTTCCCTAATCATCAGTGCTTTTTCGTGAAGTTCTTTGGCTTGATTGTATTCTCCAAGGCTGTTGTACACTAAGACCAAGCCGTTATAACTTGTTGCTACATCGGCATGATTTTCACCGAAAATCTTTTTCCTAATCATCAGTGCTTTTTCGTGAAGTTCTTTGGCTTGATTGCATTCTCCCAGGCTGGTGTACACTAAGGCCAAGTCGTTATAACATGTTGCTACATTGGCATGATTTTCACCGAAAATCTTTTTCGTAATCATCAGTGCTTTTTCGTGAAGTTCTTTGGCTTGATTGTATTCTCCCAGGCTGTTGTACACTGAGGCCAAGTTGTTACAACATGTTGTTACATTAGCATGATTTTTACCGAAAATCTTTTTCGTAATCATCAGTGCTTTTTCGTGAAGTTCTTTGGCTTGATTGTATTCTCCCAGGCGGGTGTACACTAAGGCCAAGTTGTTACAACATGTTGCTACATTGGCATGACTTTCACAGAAAATCTTTTTCGTAATCATCAGTGCTTTTTCGTGAAGTTCTTTGGCTTCATTGTATTTTTCCAGGCGGGTGTACACTAAGGCCAAGCCGTTATAACTTGTTGCTACATCGGCATGATTTTCACCGAAAATCTTTTTCGTAATCATCAGTGCTTTTTCGTGAAGTTCTTTCGCTTGATTGTATTCTCCCAGGCTGTTGTACACTAAGGCCAAGTTGTTACAACATGTTGCTACATTAGCATGATTTTCACCGAAAGTCTTTTTGAGAATCACAAGTGCTTTTTCGTGAAGTTCTTTCGCTTGATTGTATTCTCCCAGGCTGTTGTACACTAAGGCCAAGTTGTTACAACATGTTGCTACATTGGCATGACTTTCACCGAAAATCTTTTTCCTAATCATCAGTGCTTTTTCGTGAAGTTCTTTGGCTTGATTGTATTCTCCTAGGCTGTTGTACACTGAGGCCAAGTTGTTACAACTTGTTGCTACATGGGCATGATTTTCACCAAAAATCTTTTTCGTAATCATCAGTGCTTTTTCGTGAAGTTCTTTCGCTTGATTGTATTCTCCCAGGTGGGTGTACACTAAGGCCAAGCCGTTATAACTTGCTGCTACATGGGCATTATTTTCACCAAAAATCTTTTTCCTAATCATCAGTGCTGTTTCGTGAAGTTCTTTGGCTTGATTGTATTCTCCCAGGCGGGTGTACACTGAAGCCAAGTTGTTACAACATGTTGCTACATCGGCATGATTTTCACCCAAAATCTTTTTCTTAATCATCAGTGCTTTTTCGTGAAGTTCTTTGGCTTGATTGTATTCTCCCAGGTGGGTGTACACTTCAGCCAAGTTGTTACAACATGTTGCTACAGCGACTTGATTTTCACCAAAAATCTTTTTCGTCATCATCAGTGCTTTTTCGTGAAGTTCTTTGGCTTGATTGTATTCTCCCAGGCGGGTGTACACTGAAGCCAAGTTGTTATAAGTTTGTGCTACATAGGCATGATTTTCACCGAAAATCTTTTTCCTAATCATCAGTGCTTTTTCGTGAAGTTCTTTGGCTTGATTGTATTCTCCCAGGTGGGTGTACACTTCAGCCAAGTTGTTACAACATGTTGCTACAGCGACTTGATTTTCACCAAAAATCTTTTTCGTCATCATCAGTGCTTTTTCGTGAAGTTCTTTGGCTTGATTGTATTCTCCCAGGCGGGTGTACACTGAAGCCAAGTTGTTATAAGTTTGTGCTACATAGGCATGATTTTCACCGAAAATCTTTTTCCTAATCATCAGTGCTTTTTCGTGAAGTTCTTTGGCTTGATTGTATTCTCCCAGGTGGGTGTACACTAAAGCCAAGTCGTTATAAGTTTCTGCTACATAGGCATGATCTTCACCGAAAATGTTTTTTAGAATCAACAGTGCTCTTTGGTGAAGTTCTGTGGCTTGATTGTATCTTCCAATGTCTCCGTAAACTTCACCACTCACGTTGAAAATCCTCGCTTTACGAGTTAACGCACCTGAAATAGTTTCGTCTGTATTCTCCAATAGGTTGCATGCTAAATCGACCAAATCTTTCGCAAAGAAGAAATAGAAATTTTTTCGACAGTCACAGGCGACAGTACATAGCCAATCAATAAATCTATCCAAATCTAAAAAGGGCGTAAACCTTTTTTTAAAAGAGCTTGGATCCGAACTGAACTCTGACTTCATGAACTTAAGTAAAGTTTCACAGTGGGGTATCATTTTTTTAAAAAACGCATTATTCTTGTTATTTTCTTCAAGTTGGGACTGGAAAATCTTAACTGCTTTTGCAATGTTGTGGTCGGTCTCCCTTGATTTTAGATTAAACATTTCGTTTCGTTTCAATGCTTCATGAACAATTTTATGCAGTCGCAAATAGGTTTTTTGTTTATTGACTTCCTCGGAATAAACAAGAAGTAAAGAGCACCTTACAATCTTTGCCTTCAGTAACTCCTCTGGTTGGTCCTTCACTTGAACTTTGACGAACTGCAAAACAGCTTCGAGTGGGAGATCCTCGTTAGCGCAGAGCGAAAGAAAGGAGAATGTCTCGCGAAGAACATCGTCAGCGACGACAGCTCTCTGGATGGCCATTTCAACAGCGGCCATTGTTGTTTTAGCATAGGCGGAACTTTCAGTCGCAAGGACAGTTTCAATCTCATTTCGTAGGTCGTATGTTGATATGTCTTGAAGGTATACTTTCCAATCATAATTTGAAGACCCACTGTTCACAACAGTTTTCACGTAATAAGCAGCAGCAGCTAAGGCAAGTGGTTGAAAATCAAGACGTTCAGCGACGTGTTCAGCTTGTTCTCGATCTGAAATTTGCGATATTTTTTCCAGTAATTCCACTGCCTCATCACGCATCATTCCTTTACTTAACGATTCATGATGCGTGTGAGGAGCGTTTTGGGGAATTGTTCCGCTATCTTGAGTAGTAATCAGCACCTGACCATTGCCCCATTCCTCGCTACCAGTTTGAGGCAGTAAGCCGCGGACTAAGCGTAAGTCAATCACATTGTCCACAATAATTAGCCACTTGGTAAACTTACTAGTCTTCGGCATAATCAGCGGATGGAGCCTTTGAATTGCTTCAAAAGGCTTCTCATTTTTTAAAGATTCTAAGCTTGTCAAGGCGTATTCTGTTAGCCCTAAGTGTCGTCCAAGGGCCATGTAAGATTCAGCAATTGTCTCAACACTTTCTGCATTCAGTGTTGCAACAAAGTTTAGATCTTCAACATCATCGGTTCGTTTAGGAAAGAACCGTTTTCCGATTTCTCGGGCAAGTTGGCTCTTGCCGCATCCTGGATTTCCTGACAAATACACCGTACTAACAGTTCCATTGGCACCACTGTAAAGTTCTTCCATTTTGTTTGTGATTCTTTCAATGTCATACGTACGCCTGATGACATCGTGTGGTGGGCGCGATGCGAGAAAGCAAAATGGCTGAAGTTTCGCATTTATTTCCTGTGTGAGAGCCTTGTTTTCGTCTTTTGCAGAAATCAGAGCAAGCTCTGTACTCTGAAGTGTGCTTTTTGTTTCCTTCAAGTCAGATTTTGTCTGATCTAACTCGGCTTGCAGATCACGAACTTGCTTCTTAATTTGTTCCACTTCATTTGTTGGAAAACTCTTCTGGTTCTTTATTTCTTGGATCTCAGTTATAGGAAGACCGAGGGATGTAAAAGCGTTCAACACTCGATCTACTGAAGTTTGGAAGTCGGCATCTGTCAGGTTAGCTTCCGTCATATGAGCGATCCCGTTTCGCACTTGACGAATTTCATCGACATCTTTATTGACAGCTGGACTTAAGGTTTTACCGATACTGTCTGAGTACAAAATGGCAAAAAACAAACAGGTGCAGTCCCACTCTGCCGTGTCACCATTCTGGATTGTTGCCAGGCACCGAGCGTTTCTCTTCCGACTTGCTTTAGTTTCCCTGTTGTAGAAATCACGGCCATTTTGTGGCGAGTCTTTCCATTCTCCGCGTAGAGTTGTTCTGTAAAGGAAATCCCATTCCTGTTTGAAAATCTGCCTCAGTCCTACTGGGACCAGATTAAATGCGATGTAGCAGAGTCTGAAGTAATTCAGCTGCTCCTGCGAGTATTCCATAACCAACCTACAATACTGTAAGAGATATTTCCATTCAGCTTGTTATCTTGCTAAATCACCAGGAGCCACGATCAAACAACAAATTTCTTTTTCAGACAAAAAAATAACTTGTTTACTTGATTATATTGAAATCTCGCCGATGAACAAAAGAAACCAACAAAAGTTGTAAGATTATTTAAAGATGATATAAACTATTTTATTAATTTCCTTTATTATTAAAAAAAGGGGGAAAGAAAAAACTATGTATAATTTCAAGAGAGAATGATCTGGCTCATTTTCTCTTGATATTTTTTATGCTAATCGCCTAGCGCTTTGTTTTTATTGGCAACTTGCTAACTTGATTTTGTCGAAGTAAACAGTACTAGAGTACAAGAAGAATAAAAAAGGCGAAGGGGGTAAAAATAAATTTCGGTCTTTAATTTTGATGCAAGCAAATAGGGCGGTTTTATCGATTCCAGAGCTCTCTTCTCTGCGCGACCAAAAATTCCCGATGGCTCTGTAGTCGAGAATGACAGGGAGGGGGTGGGGTCATATAGCAGCTGACACTTAACCTTGTCACGAAACTGCGCATGCTTGTAGTCAGCGAGGACTCAAATTGAGAAGAAGTTTCTCGGGACAAACTCGGTAGCGATTCCATCGCGGGGAATCTTGGTCATACGTGACTAGATGGAACTATATAAGATGTGAAAGAAAATAATGAACATGCAAAACACCCTTGAGCACACTGCAAATGAATATTCCTGAAAATGATTTCTGTTGTTGTTGAGAACGTCAGGGCTCCTGAGAACGTTGAGAACATTTGATACCGGCTATATAAACTGTTTTTTTTTTTTTTTTTGGGCTGCAGCCTCGTTTTGTGATGTATTGGGAACATCGCGCTCGGTCAGGGACTGAAAACGTTATACGGTTACATTTTTCATTCTCTGCCCAGTACAAGAGCCATCTTGCCCAATGCACACGCTTCTGACTTAGCGCGTATGCGCAGAGGAGCTCTTCTACTATAAATATTGCCTGGTCCCTGAACGGCGTCTTCTCAGGAGTTCTCGGTCAATGAATTTTCGGTGACGTGCATCAAAAACTCCCTCGGACCACGTGACCCGAAACGCATCGGCCGCGCGAAATAATGAGGCCTGGGGACTAGGAAACTGCAAATAGATTTTGTTGTTAGTTATAGGTCTTCGCAACTACTTGCTTTTACTCAAGACATTAAACCTGTTAAGATTTTC